TATATATTGCATTCTACTTATTTCATAACGTGGAGATCCTGCAAAACGATTTGGAGACATGCCTTTCTCTGCCTCACTGGGCCAAAGTTTGTCTCACTTTATACAAAACTGTTTTCTACATTTTATAAACTGCATTTTAATAAAGGAATTGCTATCTCTTACCTAGACCCCTCTATTCCCACCTGTGAAATTGACTGATGTGTCTTAAACTTCTAAGGAGCTACCCTTGTGGATGTTTTTTGGTTCAAAAAAAAAGTTAGAAAATAGGTATTCATAGAAACACCTTAAAAATATTTTTTAATGTTGTAGGAAGAGAACTAAACATTAAGAAGGAAAACCCTAAAAATAGTCAATGTATTCAGAGTGAAAATAATGGCAAAATTTCCTACAAACACTTTTGGCAATTCAGTAAAGTTTGTGAATTCTTACTTAGAAAATGATTTTAAGTAAAAGAAAATGCATAGACTCAGGAGAGAAACCAAGTATGTTGAAATACAGGCATCCAATTTTTACAAATATGTTGAAATACAGTCATCCAAATAACTAACTCTAGAATGTATTAATATCTGTGCATCTTAATGATAGATCAACAAGAGCCAGTAACAGAGCTAAAAACTATGTCAATGTGAAGTCATGTTTGAAAACTGCCTCAAATTATGAATTTTAATTATAGTTATTTCAAGGAATCTACAACAACTCTAATAAATGCAATGTGAAAATATCTTCTCCTTCTATTGGTGACAAATTTACAGGTACTGCTAATACTACTGAGATGTATTGTCTATATACTAAATGAGAGAAAATGCTAAGTTTTATTCTAGGTATTAGTGAAAATAAAGTTTTAATTATTTCCCATCTCACTTCATGGAAACTCTAAACTATATCCAGAGAGGGATGCTCTCCTGTTTACCACCCGCAAAGTTATGAACCCAACCAGACTGTGTAAATAGGTTGTAGGAGACTCCTTTTGTTTCCTACTGAAAAGCTGTCATGTTTTGACAATGCTAACAATTGTACTGGATTATTCTCTTAAGCCTTTAAAGGATACCTCAAGGTAAACAGATAAAATAAATATTCCAAGTATACACTATGTGAAGATACATGAAAATATTTTAGCATGTAATGTTTCTTTTTTAGAAAAATCAAAGACATACTATAAAATAGTGTTATAATGAAATTTTCAAGTAAAATTATTTATTTGTCCCTTGGACTTGGAAAACACATAGTGATACACAATTCTAAGAATAAAAAGGAACTAAAAGGGCTTCTTTCAGCTCTTTACTGTTTTATTCAGTAATACGGAAAAGTTAGCTAGTTTCTGTCTTGAAGCATTGTTCACCGTCTTGCAGTACATTTCCAGGACTAATGACAATAGGCTTATATAAAAAGAATTATTGAAACAAAAAAATCCTCTTTCAGCATTTATTATGTGCTATAAAATATCATATTTAATAATTTTTGAGGGTTTGGGCCATAAATGGGGCTGTACTACCAGGCATTTCATTTATGACTTCATTTGCATTTTGACCACCAGTGAAATTATTTAATACTACCTGGCATATATAAAATGTATATAACACGACTAAGAAGCTAAGAGTTAAAATATTACTTAATATACCACTTTAACAAATAGATTCTCTTGCAAACAGTCATACTTTTTAGTCAATGCAAGATATGAATTGCTATAAGGTAATAATATCTGTTGAATTTTTAAACGCTTAATTCCTTAAAGTAAAAATAGGTTAAGGAGAGCAATTATGCTTTAAATAATAAAGATGTATTTTTGTATTCTAATCAGAGAAAAGAGAGGTCAGCACCAGTTGGAATTTTAAAAATAAGATCATTTCAATCTTTCTCCTAAAATATTTGGTATCATAAGTGACAATTATTTTAATACCAAATATAGCTAACATAATTATTGTATAGAATATGATCTGAATTAAATGTTGAAAGACAGAAGAGCCACTGATAAATTTAGAAAATTTAAATTTTCAAAGAGCTTATATAAACACTGTAATTGATCTTTTCACTGCTTATGTCATCGAAGGCATTTTTTAAGTTGCTGTTTAACTAAAATTGAGGCATTATATACATAACAGCATTACATAAAGAATGGAGGTGATTTGTGAATTATACCATGGCAATCACAACAAGTACCCAGTGTCTGGGGTGAGAAATTAAAAATACAAAAAGAAAACAATGACATATCATCTTAAGAAGAACTGTTTTAAGTCCAAAGGTATTTGAGAGAAGAAAGTAAAGATACAAAAAGAAAACAATTGCATATCATCTTGGGAAGAACTAAATTAAGTCCAATGGTCTGCCTCTTATCCCTTCCTTGAAGGTGAAATAAACTGTCAGATAAAATAATGAAACTAATACATTCCCATAATTTACACACACAATTTCACTAGTTTCCTCAAGGTTATATAGGTTACATAATTGTTATTCCTCTGAGATGTGTTGTCAGGAGTGAGGGCAAAGACTGCAGTGACTTTATTTTTCTACTTTCATAAGCTCTTACATAAAAAGAAAATACTATTTAATATTTATAAAATATAAATGAGACACTTTCAAAAATGTGTAAACCACTTCTTAAATTTCATTTTATCCTTAAGAAACTGCAACCTTACCTAATTTTCCCATAAATTTATCTCTATCATGAGGTTGAAGGCTCAACCACATTGCTCAAGAAAGAGTACGAGAAGCATCTTTTAAATTATGTATGGAAGAAAAATGTGTGGAAGGGGCAAATAGGAGATGAAATAGTCATGGGAACAAATGTCCATGTGGTTCAAATTACTTAATGTCCCCAAACTCCCAATAATAATATCAATAATGGGACCACATAAAAGTAAACTAAATGTTCCTTAGTTTTTTTCTCTTAAGAAAAGTGTGCAATATCAATATGAATTCTAGTATATGAAACTTAAATTCAGAAAGAGCAAGAGAAAATTCAGGAAGTTCATTTTATATACTTTGTTTTAGCTTTATTTTATCCTATTATATCAAAAGTTCATTTTATTGTATTTTGGCAACTTGAATACATAATAAAAAATTCACTGAATGAAAAAGGAAGTCAGAATGTTAACACAGAAAAATTTATGAAATTCTTACTGCCATCATACAATCTGAGGCATGGCTGATGGTAAGAACTCCAGGCATGTGTTTGTCCAGGAAGATTGTGAACCCAAAAAGGACAAGAAGGACGGTTCTATTACTTATTTTGTTATTCCAAATAGTCCTTCCACTACTATGTTTTTAAAACATGCGAATTTAATTATATTTATACAGAGAATCATAGATGCAAAACCTAAATTAAATGTTTAATTGAAAAACTAGTTATAGAAGCTCCAACTAATTATTACTTCATTAAATATGAGGAGAAAAACAGTAGAAAAACTAAGGAAGAAAATGAAATTCAAACTTGATATATAACTTCTGTTTCTCATTTGAGGAAGATATGGTACTAGCCAAGTGATACTAAAATTTTAATTATAGCAGAAGAAAATGAAAATGAACACTATTAATTTGTACAATTTTTGAAGAAAAAAATCTCAGATTTTAGTTTTCAGTTTTAGTTCACAAATTCCTATTAACCACATATATGAATATATATGAACCTAATTCATTCTCTTCTAAAACCAGGTCGCATGTTTAACAGCTGCCTAAATAGTCTTTTAACAAAAGCTTTTGCATGTAAGCACAATTCTCACAGCCAAAGTTGAACAAGTTTCTTTTAGGAACAAAATTTAAAAGAGGGAACACAAAAGTAATAAAGAATAAAGAATTATGAAGTCAGGAAATGGTTGTTTAGGACATCACTCATTTCTATCATCTGCTTGATTTAAAATGTTATTATAAAAGATGTTTAATTGCCATAAATATTTTCCCACTAAGAAGAGACATTCGATTTAAGTATTTTTTAAATTTAATTTTAAAATTTATTTATTCCGCTCCTTTAGCCATTAGAGCTTCCAAGCATATCCCTAAAGTCTGTAGGAACTACGGGAAGATTCTAAGAGAGTACAAAGAGGAGAGCCAGCTCCAATCCAAGCCATGGAAGTCATCTTCATTTTAATTAATTTACTTTGCCTTTATGAACTTAAGAATCTTTCAAGGAGGTTGACATTTCACTCATATGAAAAAGCTTGGAATGTGACAGAGTAAAGGGAGGAGAAGTAAATCAAAGGGGTTAGCAATTTTCCAGATGCAATGTATTTTTCTTCTTTTCTTTTCCACTAGAAATTTTAGAACGCTTTCTGACATTTTAATTCTCTATGCAAAAACCACAGTAGCAAAAAGTGCTTAAGGCATAATATGTCAAGAAACAAACACACATGCATGTGAGCATGTACATACGCACAAAATGAATATAAATTCCAATTCACTGATGCTTTAACAGAAAGTGGAACTTTCAGTGCAGTATTAATTAGCTGTTTATGTGCACAGTTTAATCAACACAATCTTAGTTTAAAATCAACAGCAAGATTTGTAAATTTTTTCTTGTTTGTGATGATTAAGTAATTGAATCTATGCCGGCTTCTTTGTAAAAATGGCATTTATAAAGTCTGCTCTCATGTCTATATTTTCAATCACACCATAGTATTTTAGTTATCACCTTTAGGCATGTGGCTTCAGGAAACTATGCCCAAATACCTTATACAAATATTGGTTATTTTAAAAGACCTCTTTTTTAACAGAGTGGAAATTCACTAAAACATCAAAAGGTAAAAACAAAAATAAAAATAAGGCTTGAAAATAAATTCTCAGCAATAGAGTTTATGTCCACTGCTTTTTGGATAAAGAGAGAGAGAGAGAGAGAGAGAGAGAGAGAGAGAGAGAGAGGTTAACTCCCCGAAACACCCTGGTTCAATATTTACCTGACAGCTTTGGCATCTCGACATTTTCCCCAGTGCATTTCCTTCTTTATCAGGTATTATTTTACAAGGGATTTCTTGTTATACAGAAGTAACATAAATCAATCTATAACAGTTGAATTTGTTTAACACATTTATTCTTTAATAAGTTGCATGATCATATTTCATTGGCTTGTACAATAGAAAAAGAAAATCTTACTACCAAAACAGAGTTTGTGGAGCCAGGCACATGGTAAACCTATTTAGTCTTTTCAGAGGTTCATTCTTAGATTTTAATGTTAAATAACAACTATTCATTTAAGCTGGTCTCACTGAATATCTTGACCTTTAGCAATTCCACACACAGCAGCTTATTGTGGTATCTTTTAAATATGAGAAATAAGAATGTTTAACTTTGCTATTAAAAGAAAAATAAAAGAGTACTGTATGTTACATGGCCCATGAAATATTGGCGGTGTGCTCCTTAGCTTTCATTCGAAGAACTGCGATACTGGAAGACCTCCTTTCAAACTCTGGCTTTGTTTCAAATGCATGTCCATTGGTTGCCCCAGTAAGAAGAGAGTCAGTGAAAAAATTGTTGAGGGGCACGTGGCTGAACTGGTTCTGGTGGTTTGAAAACCCTGTGTAACTGGAATCTGTCCGAGGCGAGTGAGAATAAGGTGTCATACAGGAGGAAGTGTCACGTGGTAACATGCATGAAGTAACCACAGAACCACCACTTGCATTTCCTGCCCACAAATTGTTCTGAATCTGGAATATATAAAACAACAAATATTACATTTACATGTTCTCACTTTTGTTCTCTTACGTTTAAGTTATATTTACTAAATTTGGTTAACTATTCATTGTTTGTTCCTGTTGGGTGGTCTGTAATTACATTCAACAATGACTGAAAAATAATTATTTGAGAGATCCTTCTAGTTTGTTAAACTGAAATAGAGCAACCAATCCCACATTCTTGGCCACAAAACACAATCTGAAACATGTCTATCTCCTATTTTAAAAGATATTCTTTTTATAGTCACGATTTTAAAAATGAATCTGGAGTAGTTTAAAATCTGGTTTTAAGTTTAAAGATAGGTTTTGTTCTTCTAAACAAAATGACACGAATGCATTTTTTTTTTTAATTCTAAGACGAGCTCTTGGTGTCGCAATTTTTGTTGGAAACCATTGCTGACAATAGACTGTTCTGCAAAGATATTTTTGACTAAACACATTCTGAAAAGTATTTTCCCTCCAATTGCTTTTTGTGTCCGATCATCTTGAACAGCTCTGAGAATCTGGGAAATTACAAAATATGTAAATATACATATTTTAAAAATTTACTTTATGATTTATATATCATATAATGAATTCCAAACAGACATGTGACATGTAAAACAAAGTCAGAACTTTAAAACATGGTCCATTACCAAATAATGAAATCATGACTGAGAAAGATATGCAACTATTTAGCAAAAATATCAGATGCGTATAAGGCAGTTACTCTTGTGTTAGAGTACTCCTATATAATAAAATTGGCATTATCATTCATACCCAAGATATTCACATTTCATTTTATTAAATTTCTAAAGAAAACAACTCAATGGAATATCAACAACAAGTACAAATTTATCTAAAGTTACTAGTATATAAAAGAAACATGAAGTAGAACTTATATAACATGAATTTTAAGTAGGACATATCTCAATCAATATGGAAGCTATTTAAACAAAAACAGCAACCACAGACATTACTGGGAAGTTCAGAGAAAATCATGACAAATGGCAGAAACTGAAGAAAAATGAAAAATAAATTGTTGCATGGGATAGTAATACTATGATGCAGGCCTTTGAAGATGAAATAAAATTGAATGCTTTTAGCAACATTATTATAATATATTTTGACTAGAACATAGCAGAAATACACATGTTAATCATAACTGGCTTTCTTATCTTTGTAAATCATGATTGTAAGAGTAGAATCATCAATGAGTAGGACACATATATTTTCCTATTTTTTTTTACATAAAGATTCCGGGCTCCTACATATAGCATCTGGTGTAGTCTTAAAATATTCATGCTTGAATTGTACTTTCTATGACAACTAATTTTCATTTAATAGCAAAAAGTAAATCTTCTGGATAACACTGGTAAAAAAAGGTACTCTGTCACTCAAGAAAAGACTGATTAACCCATTTCAAAGTGTAAGAGAAAATCCTTCATAAGTAATTTCAACCTTTAGGTGGGGTTTCACTGATTGTCTAGTTGCTTATATATCTGTTGTCTTAAAAAAAATAATTCCTTATATAAATATATGTATAAGCTGCTTTAAACTTGTTAAATATACACATATGTAGAGAGACAAAGAATCAGAGAGATCTACATATCTATATCTAAACATATGTCTATATGATTTGCATATTTTGTTAATGCTTAAATTGTCTCAGGCTATGTTCTGATTCTGGCTCATTCTACTATATGTATTTCATTATAGCCAAAACATAGTGATTGGTACCAGTGATTGCTTAGTTAGGTACCACAAACCAACAAGAGGACTGTTAATGTCATTACTCTGTCAAACTACCTCTTCTAACTTTGGGTGATTTTCCTCTGACATTCAATCACACATTGTGCTACTCGGCAAAAACCACAGTCACATGACTGACATAAGAGCTTTCAGAAATGAAAGTGAACTTTGCTTGCTTATTTGAAAAAAGAAAAGGAAGACAAGATAATGAAAGAGAACGATTATTTGTATTTTGTTTATTAAGGAATTGCTTGATTTATACACAAAGTTGCTTGATTTTTTTGATTAAAATAATTCATTTATATTCCAAATGCACAGAGATACATTCACCAACTAGATAAAAAAGCTAATGTCAGAAAGGTAAAGGCAAGGCAAGTAATCTATGAATGTTAATTAGGAAAATATTGTCTAATTATTGTCTAACATAATTAACACATATCTACCTATGAATTGAAAAATATTCTGTAGAGTACATGACATAAGAAAATTTTATTTTGATCAAAAGTTCTTATCTGGAATGATCAACCAAGTTAAATGTATTACTTTTGATGAAAGAATTTCTAACATATAGACATGTTTTTCTGGGCAGAACAGACTGGTAAAGTAAATATGACAGTAATATTTTAGTTGAACTTGAGAAGATACCCTAAAATTTAAGGCTGTCTTTTATTCCCATGGGTAGAGATGCTCTCATACATTTTTACTGATATATCCTGTTTTCAAAATGTCTATTTCTTCCTCCTCCCCAGCCCCACCGTTGATCTTTCCTTTTTAAACTTTTTGACATATATTTATTTGACTTTAGAAACATTGTTGCTTTCCACATTGTAGATTTGTTTAAATGAAAATTATAAAAGATAGTATCCTCAGTAAACTGTGATTTTACTTCTCTGAAGCATGCCCTCTGGATGTTTCAACATTTGATCGTGATGCCCAAGACCATGTTCATGATAGCCAATGGTTATCAATTAATTACCATGCGTCGGGCATTATGTTAAATAAATTATGTTAAAAACAATTATTTTAATTGTTTCAATACACTAAACAGCCAGCCTGTTGTTTTGCTATACCCATTTTGAAAACAGTAGGTAATACTATAGAATAGAGTTGGAGAACATCACCCAAGATTGCATTACTCCAATGGTGGAGGTCAAATCTCAATCTAGGAAATCTTAGAAATGCTGTAACACTGACTAGTTTTATGAGTTGAAATTACTTATTTATCTACTCATGATCCCTGCTTTGTGGAAGTTCATAGTCTCTACTCTCTGAAGGAAAAACCCACAATTATTTGTCACAACTGTTTTGTCATCCTCAAGGCTAACACAGTACATGGTAAGTCCTTAAAACAAATTTATGAAGTGCTTGAAAAATATGGACTGATCCATCTTGCAGTTATATCAAAATTTTGTGGACAATTTATGTTAATATATCAAAATTTTTGTTTTATAATATGGATTCCCAAAAATCTTAACTTAACAAAATCATACTCAAAAATCTTAACAGAAATCATGAAAATTACATTCCTAGACCTTGCTAACTGCATTTACCTGGGAAGTTCTTTATTTTTATTTCCTATTAAACACTGATTCTCCACCACAGATACATATTCTTGGAGACTCTGTTTCATTTAGTATGGCTCAGGGATCTGTATTAAAATCATGGTAATAATAATACACTCATGGAATTCTGAAAATTAACTGAAATTAAGAAACACTACTGGAGTCCATCTTCCTTCCAAATGAAAAACTCTTTGTACATCAATTTTGTTTACATCTTGTGGCAAGAAGCTCACCTGTTTTAAAACATCATTCCATTCCTTTGGAGAGTTCTGTAAAACTAAGCTATTACATCCCTTTACCTCTACCTATGGTTGTTATTTATGTTTCCTATAATGATGCAAGATAAATATCATCTTTCTTACATGTTAAAATCTTAAAATGTCATCAGGCAATGATGACACAATCCCCAAGTCTTTTTTTCTCCAGGTAAACATCTCCAGTGCTTTTAACCATTCCTCATATGACTTGTCTTCTCAATGCTGTATCATTCCGGTCATGTCCTTCTGGATATGTTTGAGGATATCAATACCCTTCACCCCTATCAACACATGGCATCTACACCAGAATAGCATATGCTGCATATCGTCTGATTGCTGTAGGAAAAAACTGGCACATAACATTTTTGTTCTAGGCCAGGCGTCCTCAAACTTTTTACACAAGGGGCCAGTTCACTGTCCCTCGGACTGTTGGAGGGCTGCCCCATAACTGTGCTCCTCTCACTGACCACCAATGAAAGAGGTGCCCCTTCCTGAAGTGTGGTGAGGGGCCAGATAAATGGCCTCAGGGGGCCGCATGCGGCCTGCGAGCCATAGTTTGGGGACGCCTGTTCTAGGCTATCTAGATTTGATTAAACAATAATAACGTTATTTGAGATTATGGTTGTCTATAGTGCTGTTAAGCTGGACTCACCTGTTCCTCCATCCCTCCACCAATATATTCTCATATGGGCAGTAATTTTTAAACTATGTCCTGGAATCTATAAATCCATGTGCACATTATCTAGAAGTGCATATTACTTTTTTTGTGAACTGGGAAGCCCATCAAAATCACACTCTGATTCATTAATGGAAAAATTATATTGGTCTAAAATTAATTTTGGAATTAAAAACTATATTGGTTTTTTCCTAAATAGGATAACCACTCTTATTTTGAACTATTTCATAGATATTACAATGACAACAGCTGGAATCATATAATTTTAGGGTGCTGCTATAGGCCTCTGTCCAATATTCAAGGGCTTTAAAACCAGAAACAAATAATTCCCATATCCTTCTTACATGTGTGTTTTTTAGAAAGAAAAAAAAAAAGATTGGCTGCCTTTACATTTCTTTCTCTGTTGTGTTTTAAAAAGAGTAGATAATCTAAAAACATTTCATGTTTTAATGTGCTCTGAAACTTTTTTTTTTTTTTTTTTAATTTTAGGGGTGTGTTCAAAGCACTGTCCAGGGAACTTGGCCAACTGCCTCCCATTAGCATGAATGGAAGTTCAGCAGACTTACTGCATTTCACTTTGAACATTTGCCCCTTCATGTTTTTCCAACCAAATAAAAGTTAACACTTAATTATCCCATGACTTTGGAATTTTAGAGAAAAGTTTTATTTTTGTCTTATTTATTCCAAACTGGAGCCTAATTTATTTAATATTCATTTTTCTTCCAAGGAATTAAAAGCAGTAGAGAG